CAAATGAAGACATAATTCCCCACTATTAGTTGGACATACTCAATAATCAATTTTGGTTCCAATTAAAGTCCAACTAAATAATGAAGATATAATCCCCACCATAGTTGGACATACTAAAATAAAAATACACCTTCCAAAACCAAGTTAGAATTTGGCTCAAAAGATACATTTTATTATTAATGGAATCCAAAAGGTGTATGTCAAATCACGTAACTTACTACAGTTAGTCCGAAGAACCGAGCAAGATTCGTGGATTAATTAATAGAAGTGACTAAATGTTGGGAAGTGACTGAAAAACATGTTTTGCCAATGCAAACCATGAACCTTAGAATTATAATTGAGCTAAATTTATAAATTCTAAGAATTGTGATAAAATTATTATCTAATGGGTTGAGAGATTTATTGACATAAAACTCGCCTGTGGACTAAAGTTTTAATTCTATTAAATTCAATTAAACCCTTATGATAATATTCTATCTCAATTACTAAATAGCCAGAAGTGTAACACCCCGTGTTACGACCCCTAAAACCAAATTAATTAATTTATCACCCACCCTAAAAAGGGAATTAAAATCCATTAATTAGCCAAAAAGGGGTCCACCATAGTCCATGGGCCCTTATCCCTAAAGCCAACCCCTTAGTCCTATAAGAAATAGAATTAGCAAACACATGCCACTTATACCCTAATCAGGACTCTTAATTATATAAATAGGGACATAGGAGGCACCTAGAACTCACATCACAATAATCTCTCACCACACAAGAAGCTCCAAGAATTACCTTAGGAGAAATCAAGAAAGAAGAAATCTTAAAGAAAGACCCTTCATAGCCAAGGAAATTAATTAAGGCTAAGAGGTAACCCATGTCTCAACAAAACCTATTTTCTTCGCTATAAACTCCTTCCTTGGCCTCCTTCTATATGCTTGTGTCTTGATTAATTCCTCTATGCTATTTGTAATATATTCTTGATGATTGATAAGATGATTTATGTGTATTCTTGATAATCTTGATGATCTTGATGTTGAAAAGAGGTTCTTGATATTGATGTGATGATTCTTGACAAATCTTAATATTTCTTGATGTTAAAGATAAATTGTGATTTTGATGATTTGGGAGGGATTAGAGCCCTAGGGTGGATTGGGAATTTGTGTTATAATATTCTTGATATATATTTGGGTGGGAATTCGCATGTTCGGGTGTTGTTTATGTTTAGAAGTCATAATAGGATGAGTTATACGTGATTCTTGCTTTTGATCCGTTAATTGCCTACGTGGTGTCGTTCATTGCGTTTAAAAGTGTCTAAGCATGGTTTCGGGTTCCACAAAGGATCCCGGGACGTAATTGTGATAAAAGAGTCAGTGGGGGTAGGGGTACCCGCTACCTACCCGCTGCCCGAAAATCACCGCCAGGCAGCGGCCAGGCGCCGGGCAGGCATTCGCCCGCCGGCAACCCGCTGCCCGGGCGATGATCTCCAGCGGGCAGCCGGCGGGTGACCCCCACCCACCGGCTACCCGTTGGTCCGTACCCACCCCGGGTCTTTGGCCTCCCCGTTTGATGTTCCCCATTCCCCCGTGGTGTCCCAACGGACCCCGTTTGTCGTGCTTGAGTCTAGTTTGATGTTTTGGGTATCGTTCGTAGGATAAAAGAGTCTTAGGTATTGCATGCTAGTTGAATCGGTAACCCGTTGACCTAGGTTGAAGTCGTATGAACCCCTTAGGACTATTCTTAGTATGTGAATGATCACACGTAAGTTTATTTATGTGTCTTCCCCTTCCCAATGTGCTATTATGTGCTACTATGTGCTACTATGTGCTATTGTGTGTTATGTGATGCATGATTCCCCAATTTGGTTGCAATCAAATTGGCTATACGGGCAGTTGGATGGGTTGAGAACCATCCCAACTGTTAACCAGGCCGGTTGCGATCGGTCAGGTATATAAATATTATATAGGGCTACGGTCCACTGTTGGTTACTTATGAGCTGCGGTTCATCCTCCTGGCTGCGGTCAGTAATTCACTTCTTGGGCTGCGGTCCACATGGGCCTCGGGTACGATGACCCACCGAACTGGACGCGCCAGGCGGTGTGTAGGGCCAATAAACCCGAGGAAGGCTGTAGTCCACCGACCTGAGTAATCAGGCGGTGTGTAGGGCTGCGATCCACCGAGTGATGGGCCAGCGGTGTGTAGGGTCGTAGTCTCCGATGATCTTCGCCCACCGACTGAGTCTCTCAGCGGTGTGTAGGGCTTGATCCGCTACGGTCCACCGACTGTGCCCGTCAACGGTGTGTAGGGTCGTATGTTCCCCCTTGTAAAGGGGATCATAGTCCACCGACTAGGCGCGTCAGCGGTGTGTAGGATTGTGGTCCGACGTTGAGTTCGTCAGCGGTCTTTAAAGGGTTGGTTGCGATCAACTCCCTTCATGCTGCGGTATGAGGTAGGGTGCTGCGGGGCCGTGTTAGCGCTATATGCGCTAACCCTCATGTTCGGGGCATGCGATTGGTCCCGTGGCGCCAACTCAGTCTGATTGAGTGTCACAAATGATGATTGAATGATGATATGATTGATGTGGAAATAGACTGTGACCTTAGTTGCGTATTCTTTATGATGATTCTACTTAACCGTTATCATTGATTGTTGTGCTTACCCCTATTTGCTGAGTCCATTCCTAGTTTTAAAACTAGAGTCTCTTAAGTATATATCTTCCTGCTTCAAAATGATTTTCATATATCTATATATATCTATCTATAATGTATTTCAACGCGTTGGAGTGGGTTACCGGCATCATTAGCTGAACAGATATATTTGGCTTTCATGCACAGAGGATTAGCTCCCAGAGCGCGCTAGAAGAGCTTGGAGTAGATAGATAGTTTTCCTTTCGGCCTGCGTGCCATGACGATGTATTGAGGATATTTAGTTAGTTTAGCCTGTGCATCTGAGTTCTCCAGCTCAGATGTGGCATAGCACCCCGCACTCGTATGTTTAGTACTACTCTGTTTTGGGATTTAATGAGAATTGACTTTTGTTATATAAGTTTTAAAAGTTGCAAAACTTCGGGGTGTTACAAGAAGAATCTAGTGACATAAAACTTGCATGTGGGCTAAAGTTTTACTCAATTAGATCGAACTGAAAAATTTTATTTATGATGAAACCATTTATCAAATGAGTTGAAGAATCAAATGATATAAAATTGCCTGTAGGCTAAAGTTTTAGTCAATAAGATTCATTGCTATCATTATGATAAAAAACTTAAGAAATCATGTTCCTTTTCTTTCTTAATCCCTGTGGACAAATTAAGAAATATGATCTAAAGTTTACATCATAAAATTAAACTTCATGATAGAATTGGAAATTATTTACAAATAACCATAAAGTAAATAAATTGATTTATTTCTATCGTCACTGATAAAACTACTAAACTACATTCCGATACATAATTGCCTGTGGGCTAAATTATGACCGTAGTCCAGTATTTCATCCTGATTAATTGTACAAATATAACGAAATTGCATGTGGGCTAAATTTCATCATATTACATACAATTAATCACAAATGATATGTCCAAAACTTTATGTGATCAAAATAAATCGCTTAATATATAATTTTAACAGATTAAGGATGTTGTGGCTACTCCAAAACCAAATTAAAATTATAAGATCACTAGACAATTATCAAATTCTTGCCTAAACTTTATGTGATTAAAACTTAATAATCTTAGGTAGCTGAATATGCTGTAGCTATTCCTTAATTAACCAAGATTGAAAACTTAAGAGACTTCAGTAAATTAAAGATGCTTTGGCTATTCTTTAATGAACCGAAATCAAATCACATTGGCAAGGAATACTTAAAATTTTGACAAACAGATTATACCAGATTGTGATGGGAAAATCTAAATATATTCCAAGGAAAGGTGGTTAGAGACTAAGTCTCACTGGAAACCAATTCCTTAAATAGAGTATCAATTTAAGGAGACTAGTGGCTCAAAATGTTCTTAAGTCATGGCCATTAAAAATAGTATGTCTTCCCGATTAATATATACTTAATGTATAACTGTTTGGGGATATGAACCTAAAACTTTAGGGTATACACCAGAAAACTGTAAGGTTCACATATGATTAAAGCTTAAATGGTGAACTAAAAATAGCAGACTAAATGTGCTTAAATTCATGCACTACCGCGACTAAAGTTTATGCGTAAGTCCAACTTAAATAGGAACTAATATAATTCCATATCAAAGTATGCATTGCTAAAGGAATAATAAAATTGCATAATTTAAAAACATAATATTATGCGGTGGACAAATATGCATAAAATTAAGCATTAAACTCATATATTCCAAATAAATTGCATAACTTAAAGCAATTTACAATATGAGATTTCAAAGTATAAACTTAATATTCAAACACCGATGAGTCCAAACCAAAAGAGACCCAACATTTTGAATAATAATGTACTTAATATATACTTTAATTTTTTTTTTTTTAAACTGTAAGCCCATGGGAAAATGTTTTAATGCATAAAGATCAAATTTATGAGAAATAACTGAATTTACAAATTCAAACAATATCAAACCAAAAGGATATGCTAGCATTTGTAAATTAAAATTTCATAAACCCTAATTACATAATTAAACTTAATATTATGCACTTAATGTGATCGAATGCGTAAAACAATCTAAAGAGTATGAACCAGGAAACCGGTTAGTCTCCACCTCGGTTTTCCAGGAAAACTGACTTCTACATCAATGTAATTAATTGAATAGCTCATCGACGACACTGCTTCCTTATCCCTCCACAGGAGAGCCAGGCCGCCCCCCATACCCACTCTGTCCACACAAAAAGCCCCTTCAAAACCCAACATTATTCTCACCTCTTCAATTTTTTTCGCCTTTGCTTTCGTCTCTAACAAGAAGACGAAAAAGGGTCGCTCCTTGGACACAACGCCCAAGAGTTCACAAACTGTCCGGGTGCCACCCAAACCCCGGCAGTTCCAGCTGATTAGACTCATTTGGCTGGGCGAGCCTGGCTGTCCAGACCCGCCTCTGTCAGATTCTTCGAAGTCTCTGTCATCATCACGTCCTCCCCACGCACATCACTTGTCGTCTCATCCTCCTCCCGACGTCTCTTTAATTCACCCTGCAGTCCTACATTCTCCTCCATTGCCACCAATTCAAGCGGCGATGGTCCCGGTGGGGTGTGCGGTTCTGGTTGCTGTGGTAAAGAAGGTAACAGCCACTTCGCACCTACCGGTTTTGGTTGACGACGTTGTCCTGCCCGCATCCAGCTGCCAAATGGGAACGCCTCAGGTTGAATGCCCTCCTCATACACCTTTGAACAGAACTTGTCCGTATGACCCAGCAATCCACAACATAAACAGAAGATGCTGAGACGTTCATAACGGAACGTAATCCACTGTATAGTACCATCTTTGCGGAGAAGTTTCATCCGCCTCTTCAACGGCGATGCGATCATCAGCTTGACTCTGATTCTGTGAAAACTTTTCAACGATCCCCCGAAATTACCTGGGTCGATGGCGACGAAACTCCCCACATAATTTCCGATTTTGGCGATAAAATCAGATGTGACATACACCGCCGGCAGACCGTGAATTTGGACCCAGAATGTAATGGAGTCTAGCTGGACGTCTTCCGGCCTCATCTCCGGTGGCACATTCTCACACACAAGGATGTGGTTTTCGAAAGACCAGGGTCCATCGTCGAGCACCCTCTGTCGATCTTTCGGATGAGGAAATTGAAAGAGGAATAGGTCCTCCGTTAAAGCCACCGCACACATACCCTTCACCGGCCTCCAGACCAATGCCATGACTTGCTGCATATGGTCGAATTTGATTGTGCGATCGGTGAGAAAACGCCCTATCAGATTATACTGCGACGCCTCAACAATAGGGATTGGTGGATCTGGGGCCTCCAGCCCATTGATTTCTTCTTCAGCGATCGTTAATTCGGCGCAACGTTCCTCAATTTGGCGGACATCCATGGTGAGGCAGATTAGAAGATATGCTATGGATACAATGTATTGTGAGATCCTCATTTGCAAGACTGAACAGCAACAGATAAATAAACCAGAAACCCTAGACCACTAGGGAGATAGACTCTTAGACACGATCACAAGAGAAGGCCACGATCGGAGATCGTGATCGGAATCACGATCGGCGGACTCGAACGAGGATCACGAGCTTTGCGGAGAGAAATATAATTTCCGTCCGTTCTTGACTACTTGCAGTTAGAGTTGGTTGATTTGTTGTTGTTAAAACTTAATAATCTTAGGTAGCTGAATATGCTGTAGCTATTCCTTAATTAACCAAGATTGAAAACTTAAGAGACTTCAGTAAATTAAAGATGCTTTGGCTATTCTTTAATGAACTGAAATCAAATCACATTGGCAAGGAATACTTAAAATTTTGACAAACAGATTATACCAGATTGTGATCGAATGCGTAAACCCTAATTACATAATTAAACATAATATTATGCACTTAATGTGATCAAATGCGTAAAACAATCTAAAGAGTATGAACCAACTAAAGGATATGAATTTGAACAAAATATTCATTTATTCATACTTAACCAAACATGGGCAATCAGAACTAAAATCATAATTCCAAGAACTAAATGAATTATGGAATTAATGGCAAAAGTCAATTGCCTAGAAAATATGTTTTTCCAAAATTACTAAATTGATTCAAAATCACTCTCCATAACCCAGATAATATTATTACTATTATGAATGGCAAAATTGCAAATAACCAAATTAGCAATGGTATGTGGGTTGGACTTCCATTTGGAAGATTATAAGTTCGAGCCTCAGTGGAGGCGTTATTGGTTCTTTGTGTTTCAGTAGGTTGAGAAAGTATATGAACAGATACTACAATGTAATAGAGCCAGTAACTTTCAAAAAAAAAAAAAATTAGCAATAAATAGCCATAATAATATTATCACATTATTTAGGAGACTAAATATGGAAAAACAATAGTTAAAATCGCTAACATTTATAAACGTTTTCGGATAAAATTTTTGAAAACTTAATAAAATTTGAAGTCCGACAAACATTAATGTCAAGAAAAATATTTTCTTAACTGGAATATTGTCACATAAATTTATTTGGAAACAGTCCAAGGTACACATCTGAATACCATAAGAATATTAATGTCATCATTAATCATTAATTAATTATTATAATAGTAATAAGCAACATTATAATCACTGTTAACATTAATAATAACGACAAAGTAAAGTATGGTAATGCGATGTTTCCATTTTTCTAAAGATAAAATATGTGACTAGTCCAAATTAGCGGTTTAACTATAAGTGTAGCACTAATTATCAAAAATAACCGTATAAGATAATTAATGGCTAATCTTAATGATGCAAACCGCATCTCTCCATTGCGCTAACAACGATGATGATCCACAAGAGAAGAAAAACTCCAGAATTCTCCCATCTTCACTGTCGGTGTCAGTAGCCTCGATGCAGCGTCCAATGGTACATTTAAAAAAAATTATTGGTAGGACTTAATTACCAACATTAATAGTCATGTAAAATGAAGTGGTAATCATGTCAATGTACCAAATATAGCAGATTACCATGAAATGATAATTATTATGAAAAGTAATAAAATGAGATTAGCCCCCCCTAAACTTAATAACAGTAATTAATAATGTCAATTCATTACAATACAGGCAAAACTGTAATTAAGAGATGCCAAATACTAATCTCAATTTACCACATAATAATTAACCATGACTATTATGATACTTAGGGAGACTAAAGTTAAGGTAACAACCAAATTACCATTATATAGACAATATCCCAACTATATTGCTTTTGCCATAAAATTAAAGACTTAATATTATTATTAAGGCCCTGAAAAACTATTGATAGATTAAAAATTTAATCAACTTAAACAATAGTTATAGTTCTTAATGGCCAAAATAACAATTAAATCCTTAATGTCTCTAAACAGGCCAAAACAATAATTATAGCACTTAATCACTCAAATTAGGCACATAAACCTCAATGACCCAAGTGAATTATAACATGAATAAAAAATGGTCTAATACTGAAGTAGACCCAAAACTTAATATTATTACCAACGATGAATACCAAAATATGGTAGTTAGTAATAATTAAAACTTAATAAACATGTTATAAGGAGCTATAATTATTATTAAAATATCAATCAAAATGGTGGGAACCATACTTTAATGACCCAAGATAGGTCCTAAATAGCTTGTTCAAAATAGGTTCTAAAGTCCCAGAGACACATAATACTAAAATGTGCTCAAAATTAAAAGGAAACCAAAACAAGCTACTTTAGTAGGTCATAAAATCTAAAATTGACCTAAGGATCCAAAATTGAATGATATTTAATAATGAATTTATGAATTAATAATATGCTATATCCAACTTTAACGCATGCTTTTATAAATGTATAATTATAATAATAAAATAATTATTTAATAAATATGCGTAGCATGCTTGGATTTGCATATTAATGTATTATTAACCCATATATCTTAAGTAAATTGCAACACTTGAGGCAATTTAATTTGCACCTTAACATTAAATTAAAATTCAAATAGCAAATTAAAACTTAATATTTGCTCCAAATTGAATAATAATTTAATAATTAATTAAGGAAGAATTAAACTGAAGAATTAAGCTAGAAGAAGTCTAAATATGATGATGGATCAACTAAAGCCAGCCCAAAACCAAAAACAGGCCCAAGGTCTTTTTTTTTTTTTTTTAATATTATTGGACCGGTATGCCGCAACGGGCCTGACCCGGCCCAACCTTCATAATCCATCATCATCATCTTCTTCCCAATTAACCTTAGCAGCCATTGAACAACCAAAGCCAAAACCCTTAGCTGCCATCCGTGAGAGACATCCAGAACTACGAGGGAGAATAGCAAATTTCTGGAGCCGGCGCCGCCTGGAGGAGGAGAGAGAGCAATGACGTCGCCGGAAACCCAACTTCACCACCACCGTTTCTCCTCTTCGCAGCGCCAACGTCCAACGCCCGTTCTCACCGCGAAGCCTCCAGATCATTCTCGTCGTCGACTGGAGCTTGAGGAGCAGCGAAAACCCAACTTCGCCGGCGTTGCCTGAAGAAGAAGAGGAAGCAGCGACAATCGGATACCCAGCCTCGCCTCGCCTCGCCATCTCTCCTGGTGTAACGCCAGCTCCGTTGCCATGTCCAGCGTCCAATGACACCACCCACCTCCGCCATCTCTAATTTCGCCACCGAACGGAGACCATAACTGGCGAAAAAATCCGGCAACTTTCCGACGAACAAGTACCAAGGCAGTAGATTTATTGTTTTAATTTCGAAATTATTTCTTTTATATTTCGAAAAACAATTTATAATATTTTTCAAAATTGTTTCTGGAAAAATTGACATGTTTATGGGAATGTGTTCTTAATGCTTGTAAATAATAAACTTTAGCCATCCAAATGAATTACAAATCAATAATCCATCCAAATTTTCAAAATATACATAGCAATTTACATAAGTAGATCATAAAACTAAATAGATACTCCGTATGCCTTATATGTATATTTTGAATGAATAAGGATTGTAATTCACAGCTATGTAGAGATTAACATATACAAAATCTGAACGTATATGAAAAATTTAATTGTTGATTTTAGGTATAACAATCAACTAGACAGAGATTATAAAGACTCTGATACCAAATGTTAGATATACAATAGTCTAACTAATACTGAACAATAGTATACGAGAAACCTGACCTCGTATGAGAGCGGAAGCGTAGCCGTGTTGATCTCCAGCTATGGTTGATACACTTCTTAACGGTAGACCGTTAGCTATGTTTTGCCTCAGACCTGACTCAGAACCCTAGATGGTGTATTGGTGTCTACTAAGCTCTGAGTACCGTAACTGAATGTGCTAACATCCATCATCCTGTATCCCATCAATCCAGGATTATATTAGGCACAGAGTTTGGTTGACTAACAACTACTAGTTATTAAGTCCAACCAGACCACTTAATAAGCCTAGTCAACTTGCATCACTTAATTAAGACCCTAATATATAATATACAATATATATTACTCCTTCCGTCCCTAATTGATTGTCTCATTTACTTTTTGCACGGTTTTTAATACAACATAATAAATGTTACTAACTTTCTAATTTTGCCCCTCAAAAGTAAGTGTTATTTGTACAAAGTACAATTGTACTTGCCTCATTAATTGTCTAGAAATTTGAAAAGTCAAAATGGTAAATTAAAAAATGTAGAATGATAGTTATGTTCAATTTTGAAAATAGAACACTATTTTGAGACAAACAAAAAAGGAAAATTAGACACATAAAATGGGACGGAGGGAGTATTAGGGAAAATCTTACACTTGGATCCAAAAGACCCTCTCGCCAGAATTGCATTCAAAATGGACTCCATTTGGTATGGTAGAAATCAGAAGCTCTGGAGTAACGTACCTATCGTATCTGTCGTGCCTACTGCAATTTGCAAAGAAGCTGACGCTTGCCATAGTGCATGGCTGGCACCGGTTTGGAATGAAAGCATCTCCAGACACCAGCAAACATCAACAAGTGCAGCATGTAAGACTATTATTCCCCTTCACTTGTCAGGTTGACGCAGCTTGGTACTCACCAGGTGAAGCCTCCTCTGTCTGGTTCTCTTATCAAACAACAGGGAGCTGAGTTTATAGCAGCTGCTCCTATGGAGCTTTGGATTCGTATATGGCGAAAGTTATGGCTTTTTAGGGGAGAATTATACCTGAAGCTAGAAACATCGTAGATTTGTCCTTTGATAGCCATCCATGAGGGGAGGGGTGCACTTGACGGAAAATGCATCGAAAGGATCAATTTTGCTACAAAATTTATAGTCGTGGATCTAGATTGCAAGGTTTAAAATTCGTGGAGAAAAACTGATAATGCCATTATAGTTGTGGAACCAAAAGTGCAAAAAACTTGATTTCTGGGAACAACTTTTATTCCTTCCTTCAGTTTCTCTGTTCTTTGAATGGCCGATACACCGTACACGGTGCTTGAAAGCAACCAAAAACAACACAAATGTATTCTTTATTACTCTTAATACATAAACATAAATATAAGAGAACTTTATTTTATGATTCTTGTTTTGTGGTTTGAACACTTAATAACACTATTAAACAGAATACAATTGAACACCAATTTTATTTCGATAATAATAAAGTCTGAACATGACATTAAACATCTGCAGAGTAAAATCAACGCTGGATGAAAGAAGCAATGCGGGCAATGAGATGTTTGGCTTTCTCTGAATAAGGATCGAAGATGTCAAACACATGATCCTCTCCTTCAACATCAATCACCTCAATTTCTCCTTCCCACCCACTTTTCTTCACTGCCTCAACATATCGAATTCCCACTCCTTTCAGCGCATCTTTCTCTCCCACACAGACAAACATCCTCGAACAACCCAACCCAGACAGCTTCGGACCATTCTCCACAAATGGATTAATCAGGGGATTGTCGATTCCATCTGGAGCTGTCGGGTAAACGAAACCCCAGACCCTTCTGGCTAAAGATTCAGTGTTGGCTTCGAATGAGCCCCAGAAGTATGGGTAAGATAGAATCGCACCCGAGATCTTCACTTCTCCGATTTTTCCAGCTCTAATCAGGGTGTTGTGGACTATATTACCGCCGGCGCTATCGCCGCCGATGAGAATCTTATCGAAGTTACCATGGTTAACTAACCATGGTTCTTTTACGCCGATTTTCTCCGGGTGCGCGTGAGAAGCGACCCACTGTAGAGCTTCCCAACAATCCTCATACGCGGCCGGCAAGGGGTTCTCCGGCGCGAGCCGGTACTCGACGGAGACGGCGACGGCTTGGGCCTCCGAGGCTAGAATGTTGAGGTAGCGGTGGTAGAGGGAGGAAAAGGCGGATTCGATGCAAAATCCACCGCCGTGGAACCAGACTAAGATGGGGAGTTTTTGGTCAGCGGCGGCGAGCTTTGGGAGGTAGATTCTGGCGGAGATATGAGGAGAGATGGTGACGTCTTTGGAGGAGACAGCGGCGGATGGGTCTTCCGGCGATGGAGGAACATAAGGAAAGTTAGCGATCCGGTCGACGCGGCCGTCGGTGTAGACTATAAGCATTGGAGAGAAATCCAATAGCACGCCATCCTTGTTCGGAGCCGCCATAGTCTCAGAGTCTCAGTATAATTTGGGGGCGCAATTATGTGAAGGAGAAAAGGATACTGACACTACTAGTCTAACACACACCAATACATATACACGGAAATCGGAATGATTGCCGTGAGAAAAGGGGAATTCTATTTGCACCACCCTAATTGCTATTTGCACCACCTATTTAATAGGTGTAATAATTTTTAGGTGGTGTAAATAAAAAATTGCTATTTGCACCACCTTCATTAATTTTAGTCAAACATTATTTTTTTAACAAATATTTATTATAAATGACACTTTTTCCCCTTAGGTATATGCTTTTAACTTTTTCCCTCTTAGTTATTCATGTATCCACATTTGCCTCCTAGTTATATTAAAAGTGGCATGTTTTCTTCCTTTTATGTTTGATAGACATTTTTACCATTAAAACTAAATATTTCATTTATTTTTTCTTCTCCAACAAATTATTGTTTATATGTACGGATGGTCACGGTTCAGTTCAAACAATTTTTTTTTTATTTATTATTGTCAGTTCAAAATTTATTTATTGATTATAAATTTTATTTCTTATTTAAAAAAAATTAGTAATTATTTTTTTGTATTTTATTTTTTCGGTTCTGAATCGTAACCAAAGCCAAAGGGAGTTTGTTTTAATTTACAATCACACGTGTTATATATTACTCTTTCGAACTTCATTCCAATTAAAAATGGGGAAAATATTGATTTCTTAGGCTTTCGCAGTCATATTGAGTTTTTTTTAATTTGCAGTCAACATATGAATATGAATTGCAACTGTGTTGATATTAGGTTATGTATTTTTTTAATAAATAATAATATTATAATATTGTCCAATATTCATTCCGTGCATCGCATGGGTAGCATACTAGGAGTAAACATACTCAAGATTAAATATGTATACCGCTAGTTGCGATTAATAATATATAGTAACTTTTTCATACTATTTTCAATTATTAAATTAAGCATTGTAAATACAATATCATAATTATTTTGTCATATACTTAATAAAAATGTAATTTTAAACAATTAAATTGTGGTTCATGTTTTCTTATTATGTACTTCAAATACCATTATTAAAAACATTTTTTTACCTATTCTAACATTACAAACAAATTTTTAATATTTAGTCCGTGCATCGCACGGGACAATACTGATTATATATAATATTATTAAGCCAACTATCATGTAATATGATGACATTTCAATTACCATTTCAAATAAATGGTCATAGGTCCGAACCTTGGGAGTGGAGCTTAGATTCTTAGGGTTAAAAATGTTTAAGAAAATATATAACAAATCTAACTAATTGTGAAGGCACAACACAACTTTATTTTCTTATACTTACGATTCAGAACCGAAAAAATGAAATAAAATAAAATAAAATAATTATTGAATTTATATTATTTTAAAAATAAGAAATAGAATTTATAATAAATAAATAAATAAATTTTGAATTGGCAATAAAATAAAAAATTGTTTCGAACCATAGTCATCCGTACATATTAACAATAATTTGTTGGAGAAGAAAAAATAAATGAAATATTTAGTTTTAAGGGTAAAAATGTTCACCTAACATAAAATGTAGAAAATCTGCCACTTTTAATATAATTGAGGGAGCAAATGTGGATGAACAAATAACAGAGAGAAAAAAAAGTGATATAATCATATAACTCAGAGGAAAAAAGTGTACAATTTTCCCTTAACCGGAAACTTTTAATTCGATTGCTATAGTGTCCGGTTCAGTTAGAACCAAACCGTGGTCATCCCTACGTATACGCAATAATTTGTTAGAGAAGAAAAATAAATAAAATATTTACTTTAAGGGTAAAAATGTCAATTTAATATATCGAAGGAGGGGGAGGGGGGGGGGGGGGGGGGGAATCGTCACTTTTAGAATAGTTGAAGGGCTAATATGCTAACATGATAATTCATGGGTAAAAAGTACTATAAGTATATAACTTAGGGGAAAAAAGTATCATTTTCTCTTAATTAAATTTTGAATTAAAAAATTATTAATTACACCTCATAAATGAGGTTTGACCAAGGTGGTGTAAATAGCTAAATGAATCCCCATTTGGCTATTTACACCACCTATGTAATTATTGAAAATTTTCACCTTTTTACAATTTCAAGATACTTTATACCTACTTTTGACCAAAGGGTGGTGCAAATAGCAACACCCTGAGAAAAATACTAGGGATGGCAACCCGGCGGTGCGGGGGCGGGGGCTGGGAATGGGTCCCCGTCCCCGTCCCCAAAATGTCTCCCATTCCCCGTCCCTGCCCTGTTTCCCGGCAGGAATGGGGAATTATTCCCCATCCCCGTCCTCGCGAGGATTTTTCGGGGACGGGGAATCCCTGCCCCGTTTTGATTTATGCCTTTAAAAAAAACATATAATATAATATGCATTCTTTACAAAATTAGAGAAACGCAGTTTTGTTAAGGAAAAATTTTAATTCGCAAAGATGGAAAAAAAAAACCATCTACTAATACTATGAGAATATGCAGAGATAGAGAATGAAGAATATAATACATTGATGTTCAATAATAGTTTAAACAAATAAACATAGCCTATTTATACAAGACATATGTACGATATTACGGTAACAATGAACATAAAATATATGTACCTAAACTAGAATACTAATTACATGGGAATTAAAGAATATGATTAAATATATACAGGAGAGATATTAATTTATATATAATATTAATATTATTAGTCGGGGACGGGGCGGGGATCGGGGCCGGGGCCGCGGCGGGGAATGCCCTCCCCTCCCCGTCCCCGTCCCCGTCCCCGGCGGGGATTGGAAAATTTCCCCCATCCCCACCCCCGTTTCCCGAAATAAATCTCCGAACCCGTCCCAGTCGGGGCGGGGATCGGTTTTCCCCGTCGCGGGCGGGTTCAATTGCCATCCCTAAAAAATACTACAGAGTAAATCTATTCTCAAATTTTATTCTCAATTTTTATTTCTTATTTTAAAATTTTAACGTTGATATTTTTCTTGAGATCCATATTCTCACGTGATGAAAATAATATTTTTTGAAAAGTATGTGATGAAAATAATTAATTGTACATTATCACATCAAAGAGTAAAAATGAGAAAATAGAAATATGAAGTCCATTGGTAGAAATCTCTCGTAATAAATTATATCATATATGGAACCGTGTTTACTTTGCATTTTGGATCATGGTTAAAAATGACTTGATTATACGTTTACCGTTTAACATATATTATGTGTCTTTAGCTAATAAATTATGCATATCCGAATAAATTGAAGACATGCAATTTGTTAACTATAGACACACAGGTGACGTTTGGTTAGGAACTCTTGCACCTTACAATGAGGTTTAATAATTACAAAACACATTACTTTTTTACTCGTATATTTTTGAATAATAGAATCAAAAATAAAAAATAAAAAGAAAAATATAAAAAATAAAAATAAAAAGATCAATGTCGATGCATTAAATGAAATTTCAATATATACATATGTATATACCTGTATTATATATTTTTATACATTTATTTTAATTAAGTAATTATTTATTAATTTATTTATTTTAATTCTAACTCCTATTTACTACCAAACAAAGTGACCCATTCTACTCAAACATCTTACCATTATCAAATATTTGATTCCCATTATCATTTCAATTCTAATATTCAAACCAAACACATCCATAATATGTTAACTACATATAGATAAGAGTTTTTACCCATTTTGGTCCCTAGACTATGACTCATTCTCAATTTTACATTCCGACTTTTAATTGCACCCAATGTGGTCCATTGACTTTTAAAAATTACTCCAATTTGGTCCTCCGTTACCTTTTCCATCAATTAGGCATTAAGTTTGGGAGTATTTTGGTCATTTAGTTGTTTTGGTCACCTTTTCCATCAATTAGACTCCACAAAGGTTTTCTAGTATTGCTGGCTACTTCACGAAGGTTTTCTCCAGCAACCGACGACTTCCACTAAGTCTTATTTCCGTTTCCCGTCTGTTTTTCTGTCATTTTCATGACCGGAAAAGGAAAATTGACTACTCAGTCGGTTGAGCCTTATATCTCCCGTTCTCTGGGTTCAAGGATACCCTTTCTGTCGTCGGCCTTGGAGTTGATGCTGTTAGCGTGAGAAACAGAGCACCCAAGCCGCGTCCATCCTCGTTGGTCCCTTTCATAATTCCAGAAAGCTTGAAGGTGATGAATGCCTTCTCAAGGAGTTCAACACCAATGGTGTGGCTGACCTCGGGGTTGAAGATGTATTTGTGTTAGAAATCTTTCTGCCTTCTTGGCAGATTTGCCGGTCGTTTCCCAGGTATGAAAGCAGTCGAGGGAGAATGAAGAACGGAGCAAATTAGGGGCAGTTTCTTCGCCTCCGCTGCATCATATTCCTGCATATCAAGAATCAACTACTTAATTACTTACATCGACATCACCACCATGAAAAGTTACATGTCGAAATTTCTGGCCATCAACGATCTCCCCAACCACATTTAGGACGTCGCTTAGGAAGTACCTAAGTTGCATAACTGCAACTTCAACACAACTTTGATCTCAGATACACATTTTGTTCACCCAATCCCCCAATACTCACCGGAGCTCCAATGAGCACCGACGGAAAGCTACCATTAACGTTAAAGATCACAGGTGCCCAGCAAAGATCAAAGATCAAAACTTTTCTCAAAATCAAAAATACCCAATACGAGTTTTAAACTCTAGACAGCAAAAACACAAAAGAGAAAAACAATTGGAAAGGCAAAAAACAAATATAAGAAATAAAGAGCTAGGTGGGTTTTCGGTGGCTCCTTTTCTGGAGGTTTCTTGCCGATCACACCTTTCTCCAAATTTTTTCACTTCATTAATTCCTTCTCGCCGGCGGGTCATTTTATATACAATATTATACAATATATAATAATGGAGATGAAGAACATCGCCTGCGTTGCCGCCATTGCCGTTGCCGCTGCCGCCTCCATGAGCGTGGCAGTGGCTACTGAGGCCGCCACCAACCCTAGCGCCGCCGCCGTTGGGATCGATGATCGGCGCTTTCCTCGTCTCTTTCTTCGCCTTCTACATGCACGGAAGGATGTAGATAGCAAGGTTGACAAAATCGCTAGGCGCCTGGGACCGCCTAGGACGCCTAGAGCGATTAATCGGCGCCTAGAGCGCCTAGGTGGGCGTCTAGATGGCCGACCGCCAAGCGCCTAAGCGCCGATTAGTCCAATTGTTGCAACATTGGTAGATGGTATTAGAATTTAGAAATTGAGTGCATGTAGAAGGCGAAGAAGGAGACGAGGGAAGCGCCGACCATCGATATTCATTGACAGCATTTATATTATAAATTTAAACAATTGAGGAAGCCAAACAAATCGAATATGCTCTCGGGAGTAAATGGTATTAGAATTTAGAAACCGTTGTATACATACCTCAACCATGTTCTCGTCAAAACTAACTAGACAGTTAGATGGAACCTCAACTGGGTTGAATTCATTAGCAGTTTGGGTTGAATTCATTAACCTCAACTGGGTTGAATTCATTAACAATTTGGCTTGAATTCTCGTCAAAACTGTGTCGGTTGCTGAAGAAAACCTTCGTGAAGTCGCCGGCAATACTAGAAAACCTTCGTGGAGTCTAATTGATGGAAAAGGTGACCAAAACAACGAAATGACCAAAATAACCCCAAACTTAACGCCTAATTGATGGAAAAGGCAACGAAGGACTAAATTGGGGTAATTTTTAAAAGTCAAAGGACCACATTTGGGTGCAATTAAAAGTCAGAATGCAAAATTGAGAATGAGCCATAGTCAAGGGACCAAAATGGGTAAAAACTCTATAGATAATATGTTAATTGCATATTATGTGTCTATAGTTAACACATTATGTATGTACAGTTAACATATTGGCCATGTTTGGTAAATGGTTGTTAGATGTTAGCTGATTGGGTTAATTAGAGGCTATAACTAGTTGATAACATTGGCTTAGATTGTAGAAAGATGTTTGGTAAATGGTTGTTAGATGTTAGCTGATTGGGTTAATTAGAGGCTATAACTAGTTGATAACATTAGCTTAAGCTGTTTGGTATCATTTCTTTTCTCAAAAAGCTAATTGAAAAAGTTGCTTTGAGCAGCTTTTTGATTGTCAGTATTTTGGAGATACAAAAAGCTAATTAATTAAACTTATATTATAATTTTTGTCTATCCTACTTACTATTCATTAGTCAAATCAACTATTTTTTTTTTTGCTTATTTCTATTAACATTTTCTTATAATTTTAAATTTAATTTTTTTTGTTTAATAGTAATTTTAATATAGTTTTAAAATATATAAATTTTAAATACTAATTTCAAACTTATTATTATGAAAAATTAAATTTTAAATAATTTCAATCAAGCCTCGTTATCCGAAGTCTGAACCGATACATAATATGTGTCTATAAGTAACAAATTATCAGTCTTTAATTTATTTTTTGAAACGTAATTTATTAATGAAAGACACATAATATATTAAGTGTATATATTATTTTTTGGACCAGAGACCAGAGTTCAACGTGGACCGTGGTCAATGGTATAACAATTGAAATATAAGGTAATCCTTACTTTATGTGTTTATTCATGGGCCAACACTTTCTCTGCGCAAATTATAGAGTGCCCATCATTTTATGAATGTTGGTTTTGTGACCCGAGGATAGTCACTCGGTTGGCCAATATAATCGATCGAGTGAAAATAAAATGTAAAAAATAGATAGAAAATATGAATTTTATCGTGGAAATTGAAAGATAAAAAGTACGGGCCTTTTTGGTCGGTGCCAAATTTAAATTCACTATTTTTTATAAGTAAATTGTACATGTAGTGTAATTGTATTATGCTGTTTTCTACCGAGAGATGGAGTCGTGCTTCTCTTCTCGTTTCTCCCCTCTTTTATAGCAGAAGAATGGTAGATGGTGAGTAGGGGAGGGGTATTCATGGGTAGTTAATAGGGTAATAATGGGATTTAATGGGAAAATAATGACTAATTAATTAGTGGTTAATGGAGTTTTATGAGTATTTGAGGGGATTTAAGGGTAATAATTAAGGAGATTAATGGTTATAATTGAGTAATAAATGGGTAATAAAGGGTAATTATTTGGGGGTTATGGATGGGTGTTAGGTATCCATCATCAGTCCCTCACTTTCTTGTGTCTCGAGAAGTATGGCGCAGGAAAGTTATTGTCACATCTCAAAATCAATTTTACAGCCGAATCAAAATTTGCCAACTTCTTTTACAAAGAGGCGCGGTTGACTGAGTGCCGACTCCTTTTACAGGCATCCAGTCAACCTTAACACCAGCATTTTCCCGACTCCTTTTCCAATGAGGCGTAGTTGGCTAAGCGCCGGCTCCTTTTACAGGCCTCTAGTCAACCCTAACACCAACATATTTTCCCGACTCCTTTTTCAAGTGGGTGCGGTTGACTGAGCGCCCACTCATTGATAGGTCTCTAGTCAACCCTAACACCAACACTTTTCCAACCCCTTTTACTCGTGTCAAACTCCAAGTGAACCAACTCATATTTCATTATTATCACCCTTTTCTCAAGGGGCCAACCATTGCGACTGACTGCTGAGTTCTATGGAGCTGAGTGGTCGAGTTCTTAATGATTGAGAGGTTGATCATTTTAGTATCCTACAAAATTGAGACATCAAATTAAATAAAAAGCATCTGCACGAGATGCATCCCCTCTAAGGGGTATGGTCCGGACCAGTTAGTAAAATATCTACCCTAAATTAGTTAACTCCTCTCCAACTTTTATGTGGCAATCCCTCAGCATCTTGGTTCACATTCTCAAACCTGCATAAATTCAAAAAATGACTATTAAAAGTCAGCCAACTGCTTTGCATCCGAGGGGTGCTTAACTACTCAAATTTATCGCATCATTTAGTGGCTAGCAGAGACCTAAGCTCAATCGTTTTGCTCAATCTCAACATGGTTTGTCTCGAACCTTAACTCACTCAAACCATTCAAGGGACTAGTTAAACCAAACCTCATTTGGACCATTCAAAGGGCTAGCCAAGACCAAAGTTTGTTCAAACTGCTCAGAGGTCGACTAAGACCTAAACTCACTCGGACCATTCAAAGAGTTGGCCAAAACCTTTGTTAGTCTTGGCTCGACCGGCTATTCGATTTATCAGGAGGCTTCCTTTTTTTTTTCTTTTTTTTTTCTTTTTTTACAATTGCAATCCATGAATTTGGATTTAGACAGGATGCAATTTACAGAATTACAGTGTCAAACACCCCTACAAAGGTATAAATTAAAGCTTTTACCCACGGACAACTAAAAGGAATAATATAATCCTTATGAAAATGTAGACTTTATTGGATTTCTTCTATTCTTCCCCTAAAAACTGCTATTTCAAGTGTGCTTGTTCTAGCTGTTGGATCTCAGCGCCCATCCCGGGATTGCTGGAAGTCAAGCACGCTTAACCGCAGAGTTCTATGGTACCTGGTTGTTAAATCCTACTTAAAACCAATTGGTGATAAGTAGGTGGACATTAACCATTTAACCACATCTCTCCATGGTAGCCACAGTGTCATGTCTCAAATCGAGCAGGGACTGAACTCGACCAACCCGGCCGACGCCCAACACTAGCAATCTACTTCAGTACTTGAGCAGGCCATAGCCACTTCCACGTAGACATTACTTGGCTGTTGTTAACTTTTTGGATTCCTTCTTAGAACCCATCTGCTTTGTAATACTAAATACATGCAAGCTTTAAATACCTTTCATTTTTTCACCCCGCAAACCATATTTGGAATATGAAATTCCAAGTCTCGCTCCATAATGGTCGGAAGTCTGCCTGTTCCATTCTCGGATGAACACTTGGGCAACTGCCGAGTGCTCTCCTGGATTCGGCTGACCATATTTTTATAGCTGACCGCTCGGCCGAGTCCCTTAGTTTGCTAGTTGCCTATTATGACTGCTACAAGCTAGTTGTACCGCCACGGTAAATCGGTCTGACCATAGGAGTCAGCCATTGGGAGCATACATAGCACCTTTCATAAATAAGCTTCTAAATATTTTACTTGGAAATCGGTCCTTGGGAATCGATAGGGCGATTTTCGTCCTTATCTTTATTCTTTAATCAATTCCCATGCATAACCCAAGTGCGTCAAAAGTAACCAACGCCACTGGCCAACTGGTTCCATGAAATTCAGGTGCTAAAATCTCCCTGCCTTTTATTCATATTATTCCATGCTTGAGTAGGGATTCATGCGAACAATAATTTTCCATATACATGTGCCCTCTAAAATAGTGAATTAATATTATTACCTTGGACACCCAAATTGCTCCAGCACTTCCGTTTTTCTCCAAATTTGACACGTTCTAGTACGCTAGTCAATCGAATATATCTTCCCATAATTGAGTTTTACCATGCAGGCAAATGAAACCCAATGTTTACCATATTTAAAAGTGCCAGTGGATGGTATCTTTCATTGTGTTGGGAAAAATCCTACTACCTGTGATAAATAAAATCACAGGACCGACAAGAGTGCAAATACGATATGGTACAAAATAGCCAAAATAAATAATAGACATAAGGGACACAAGATTTACGTGGAAAACCCCAAAACCACGGGGAAAAACCATGGACCACCACCAACACAATATTCCACTATAACAAATCTTGGGTACAAAGTTGTTGGCTACCACCCGAGCCAAACACCCTAAAATTATCAAATACAACAACTCTAGTCCAAATACATTCTATCACGTTCACAGGCCTAAAAATGAATAATATCTCGTACTCAAAATATTCAACCCCCACGAGCAAGGTGAATAGAATACAAACATTACGAGAATATCAAAAAAGATGCCTGGAACAAATAACTGACCTATACAAAATATATTTGATGAAGAAAGTACCCAAAAGATCTAGGCAAACCCACGACAAAGTAACGCCAAATGAAGAAGAAAATAGATGAAGCTCCTTTTGCTGGTGTCTACCGCCGTGAATGAACAGAAAGAAAGAAGAATGATTTTTTTTTTCTTTCTTTTTGCCTACTGCTTCAGCCGAATGAAGAAGGAAGAAGCTTGTGGAAATTTGTGGTAATTAAGAACAATGAATATTGCTCCTTTTATAGTTGCAAGTTTGCTGCCAAAATGGGAATAGTAAGAAAGAAATTGTCAACCTTTCACATGCATGCTGCCAAAAGCAATTAATTGCCCCTCATTCCATGCTGAAAACCAAAATGGGGATTGAATAAAGCAAATTCAATTTTTTCCACCTTTTCACACCCATGCAACAAAAGAAGTGTGAAAGCAAACAAAATAATTTCCTTCTCTTCTGCCAAACAGCTCCACCGCCAAGCAACTTTCAAATGACATTTAATGAATGTCAGTAGGTGCAGGCTGAATAAAATATTTCTTATAGTGGATACAAATAGGCTTGGTCCAAAATGAGCTATTTACCACATAGGAGGGAAGCCCCAACCGAACAAATCTCCCCCTCCCGACTATGTGGAGGATATCGCCATCCCGGCGATACAGCAACAAACCTCAAGTGACATAACTTCCATTGGTCCACACACATCAGAATGTATCAACTCTGATGCAAATTCCTTTGTTGCCACATTCACTGAACCACCAAAAATAGAACTTTGCAAAGAGTACAAGTTAGAAGACTTGTTACCTCGTGCAATAACCAGTGAGCCTTTGGTGATTTTCCAATGTCCATCACCAAAGATACAGCAGAAACCATCATCATCAAGATTTCCAGTAGAAATAAGATTCAGTCTGATACCTGGTGTATGCATTACATTTTTAAGTACCAGCTTTGCGCCATTGCTTGTCTCAAGGTAAACTGTACCAGTACCAATCACATTCACCTGACCATCATCACCCATTCTCAGCTCTCCAAAATCACCTGGAGTATATGAAGCAAAGAATTCCTTCCTTGGTGTAACATGGTAGGCTGCACCTGAATCCACAATCCAAGTTGTCTCATGGCAAACAACATTGATGGCATTCTCATCGCAAGCAACAAGCAAATCTCCTCCAGCTATTGCAACTTGGTTCCTGATGGCATCAGCATTATCTTGCTTCTTGTCTCTTTTCTACTTGAAGCAATATTTCTTGATATGTCCTTTCTTGCCACAATAATGACATTCAACATCTCTACCCTTCTGACCCTTTTGCTTATTTCCCCCCCTATCTTCTGTAACCAAAATCTCTGACTGAGAAGTGGAGGTGTCTTGAGATCTTCTTCTTGCTTCTTCATTCAAGATACCGCTCTTGACATACTCCATGGTCACAACACCGTTGGGAGCAGAATTGGTCAAAGAAACCCGAAATGTTTCCCAAGAATAAGGTAGAGTGTTATGTAACCAGAGACCAAGTACCTCATCCTCAAATGTGATGCCCATGCTTGACAACTGATCAAGAACACCCTGGAAATCATTAACATGATCATTGATCAATGTACCTTTCCTGTATCTTAGATTCATCAACTGCTTCAACAAAAACAGCTTGTTATTGCCTGTCTTGGAAGCATACAGGGTCTCAAGCTTATCCCACAAGCTCCTAGCATTCGTCTCATTAATAACATGGTTCAGAACATTGTCTTCGACCCATTGTCGAATATAACCACAAACTTGTTGGTTATCAAAGTCCCACTCCTCGTCTGACATATTTGCTGGCTTTGCACTTGCAAACACGGCTAGATGCAATTTCTTCACAAACAGGAGATCCTTCATCTTGGCCTTCCAAATGTGAAAATTTCTACCATTCAAGCGCACCATATTGATCGTATTTACCTCCATGTCAAATGTACCCGATCAACAACCAGGGCTCTGATACCACTTTGTTGGGAAAAATCCTACTACCTGTGATAAATAAAATCACAGGACTGACAAGAGTGCAAATACGATATGGTACAAAATAGCCAAATAAATAATAGACACAAGGGACACAAGATTTACGTGGAAAACCCCAAAACCACGGGGAAAAACCACGGACCACCACCAACACAATATTCCACTATAACAAATCTTGGGTACAAAATTGTTGGCTACCACCCAAGCCAAACACCCTAAAATTATCAAATACAACAACTCTAGTCCAAATACATTCTATCTCGTACTCAAAATATTCAACCACCACGAGCAAGGTGAATAGAATACAAATATTACGAGAATATCTAAAAAGATGCTTGGAACAAATAACTTACCTATACAAAATATATTTGATGAAGAAAGTACCCAAAAGATCTAGGCAAACCCACGACAAAGTAACGCCAAATGAAGAAGAAAATAGATGAAGCGCCTTCTGCTGGTGTCTACCGCCGTGAACGAACAGAAAAAAAGATGAATGAATTTTTTTTTTTCTTTTTGCCTACTGCTTCAGCCGAATGAAGAAGGAAGAAGCTTGTGGAAATTTGTGGTAATTAAGAACAATGAATATTGCTCCTTTTATAGTTGTAAGTTTGCTGCCAAAATGGGAATAGTAAGAAAGAAATTGTCAACCTTTCACATGCATGCTGCCAAAAGCAATTAATTGCCCCTCATTCCATGCTGACAACCAAAATGGGGATTGAATAAAGCAAATTCAATTTTTTCCACCTTTTCACACCCATGCAGCAAAAGAAGTGTGAAAGCAAAGAAAATAATTTCCTTCTCTTCTACCAAACAGCTCCACCGCCAAGCAACTTTCAAATGACATTTAATGAATGTCAATAGGTGCAAGCTGAATAAAATATTTCTTATAGTGGATACAAATAGGCTTGGTCCAAAATGAGCTATTTACCACATAGGAGGGAAGCCCCAACCTAACACATTGTCATTCTTAGAATATCAAAATAATCTTCATGGACGTGGAAGTTCGCAAAAGTTGTGCATGCAGCGTACATGAAGATAGTTTCCCTTGTTGGCCGACTGTGTTCTTTCGTCCGACAATATCGACCCCTTCTTACCCTCGTACGGTGGTTAGAAATAACAGTGAAATATTACTTCTAAAATGTTAGTGACAGATAATTTATGGCTATTTATTAATTTATTTTAATGACAATCGGACACATAATTCTAAAACATCACTTCTTTCTCCGTCCCAACTAGATCTTCTCAACCTAATCGGCTAATCGTCTACCGCCGGTCTCTCTCGTCCAAATCTCTATTGGTTTATGAAGAAGAGGGGAGGAGAGAGATGAAGGCTTCAAGACCTAGCGAGAATAGAGAAAAATTTACAGCTAGCAACAATGAGCATGAAGAACAATCAGCTCAAGTCTTTGATTCTTCACTCGTAACACTTCATCCGAGTAGGATTTCATCAAATTCCTCTTTTCTCTCTAATCTGTATGCATTTTCATTTATCTTCCATACAATTGGTTATGATTTTTCAATATCAAGGAAAAATTATGTATAGTTTCTTCCTGTCATTTTGACTCATTGTAATTTGCTAGAATCCAAGTTGGTTGTGGGTAGAGGAATTCAAGTTCTTGAGAATGGCGGAATCACAGTAATGTATCTAATAAAAAAGTTATAGTAATTGTGGACTCTTTGTTTCTTTTCCATTAGGTTGGGTTCATGATCAATGAAGATTTGAGACTAGTATTTAGTAATTGTGAATTCTATACTTCTATACATACTGTCATTTTTCAAATTGGTGGTTGCTTGCAACTGCATAGCTCCTCAATTTCAATCCTATTATTACAATTTTGTTTAGTTTAACATCAAAGTACTCACTATTGTGAATTAGTTACCTTGTTAAGTTATATAAATTGAAAGCATGTGTATAATTATAACACAGGGAACATCATATGTTGTCTTTCTTGGGCTCGTTTCAGCTTTGAAAGTACTTGGTGGAGCGTTAATTGACCAGAATTTCTTGTTTCTAGGCGCCAAAGATGTGAGCTTGTTCATCTTTTAATGAATTTTTTTTACAATGCTAGAATTATGCAACTGTATAAACCACATTTTGTTTAAACCACTAAAGGCTGGAACTGGAATAGTTGAGCTTATTGCACTTGAAATTTCAAAGAAGGTACTAAATTATGTGTCGTTGTCTTAGTTCAATTTCACTTTCTTTCCCTTCTGGTTTCTCGATTTTCATACTGCCTGTGTAAATTTTGCAGTCAGGGGTTGCGCTAGATGAAGTTCGAAATAAGATTTGAGTTGTCGACTCAAAGGCACTTGCACTAATCTCATCAATTTTGACTAGCTTCATAATAATGCACATTTTCTTTACTACTGCCATGAACTTGACTATTTTCAGCGGTAAAACTTGTTTGGCTTTATATTAGGGACTGATTCTGAGTTATGGATTAGAAATGCTTCAGCACTTATTCTTTCTTTTCCTTTGCAGATCTTGTATACTAAAGTTTGCTTGCTATAGAGGTAAATTTTTAACCTAATTGTTGAAGTGATTATGCCAATGAGAAAAATAATATTTTTCTCTTTTCTGTTACTTCTTGCATCAATTGACATCATCTTTTGTTTTTTTGAGATGGCAAAGTTCATAACTTAGGATGGCGAAGAGTTCATTCAAGCAACAACATGAACTTGGTTTGTATAATTTTCCTTTGTGTTTGTGTATTAGCTATTTAGCTGAATTGGTGTTAATTTTCTGAGTGGAATAATTTCATAGAAGAGGCGGGTTGAGGCTGGCCAGATTAGGGAAAAATGATTATGAATCCCGGCATGCATCAGGGAAGGTCCCAGACATGACTGGACCAGGCTTGAAATCAAGTCTATATACGACTCCTCGCTTCTCGATCTCCTCTTTCACGACGTCAGCTCCCTCCCTATTTCTCTCTGTCTTATCGGCGGATGCACCATTCATTTCTGATTTGTTTATGATTTTGTAGGCTCAAGTTCATAGGCATGCTCTCAACTTTCGGGAGGTACAACAGTGCACTCTTGTCTATAAAGATGGGAGGTTGCAGCGAGGACTGCTCTTACTGTCCTCAATCCTCCAGGTATAACACTGGTGTTGTGACACCCCGAAAATCCACATTCAATCCATGGATTAATTGAATAATTAATCCTATTTCATTTGAGGAATTAATTCCTAAAATCCTGATTTTTAATACTCAAGGACTAGTATTTGACTAGTCAACCTTAAAGTTGTGTTGTACCTTGAGCTTTGAGGGGAGTTCCCTTGTTCCTTACACTTTCTAAAGGTTAGTAAGGGTATTCTTGACTTTTCACCAAGAGTTAGTATTGTAACGTAACCTAGAAGACTTCTTCATTTCATTCCTTACATTTCCTAAAAATTAGCTCTACCTTCTCTCTAGAAAGAAGTGTAGCTTATTCTCCAAGCTAAGTTGAAACCCTTGTCAAGATTCCAAGATTTGCTTCCAAGATTCAACCTTTCACCTATTTGGGCATCTAGGAGGGTAAGATCTAAGTCCATCTTGTGTTTTTGGTTCCATCTTAGTTGTCTATTTCTTAAAGGTAGGATCTTTATGATCTTTTGGTTTATCTTGAAGTGGGTTTGGAAAGTAAGCCTTGTGGGGAGCTTGTTGTGGTGTAAAGTGAAGTCTTTTGGTCTACAAGAGGTAACCCATGCTCTACCAAAACCTATTTTGCTTACCTATATGTGATTTCTTGGATTCTACTTGTGTTTTGATATGAAATGTGAGTGTTTATGCATTTGTCTTGTGAAAATGCATATCTAGAGCTTGTGTTTAGGGTTCCTTTGTGCCATTGCTTGGCATTTTCCATGATTCAAGTCATTTTGTTGTATTGGGTGAGAGTTGACATGTTTTGGTGTGTTTGGAGAAGAAAATCCCCGAAGGGATTTGTTGTGGTACAAGTGTGTACCCGCGGGCGGAACGGCGGGCGGGGCACCACCCGCTGGCCTACCCGTGAGTACGTGCCTTGTGGGAATGTGTTCCCGCGGGCGGAACCACGGGTGGGGAACTACCCGTGGGTTCACCCGCGGGTACATAGGTGGTGATGTGATTGGATTTGTTCCCCGTGATTCTTTTGGCTCGGTATTTGGTCTTTTGACTTCCCAATGTTTTTTCGTGGAACTATTTGAGTATCTTCTTGATGTTTCGTATCTCTAGAACTATATGGTAGGTATCCATGTAGGACTTTGGTGTCTTGAATCGTGCTAAGTGTTCAACATTGTGTTTCGTTGAACTGTGAAGTGTCTTGTGAGTTCCTCAGAACTATCTTGAGTTTCTCCGTTGATAAGCATGCTAGTTTGTGTCTAAATGCTAGCGTGTGTGTTGTTTGTACCTTCCGTTTGGTTGATAATAACTTGTGTTATTCATCGTTGATGTTGTTGGGCTGTGACCCATTCCTTGATTGAGTATGTTTTATACCTTCGTTTCGATCCGTTGATTGACTCTTGTTGAGGCGTGATGTGTGAGTGGCTTTACCTGGATTGCACGATTAGTGGTATGGGACACTAGTCACCAAGGTATTGCAGCGGTCCTCGTGGTAGCCGTGACGTGAATATGGAGTTGTGACCTGTGTGTCAGGTTCACGTATTTCTTGAGAAGGCGTGTGTCGCCGTGTGTGTGTACGGTACCTCGTGTACTATGAAATCGGTCGTTTTGTTGGAGATCTGTTGGAGAGGAGACGACGGTCCTCTGGGGAATAAGGTTGGACTGGTGTACAGGGGTCCTGGAGGTAAAGGTTGGAACTAGATATAAGGTTGGGGGTAGCCATAAGGTTGGAACAGGGCATAAGGAAGGCATTTCAACTTGTGATGTGTGATGTCACGAGGGCTTGTGTAGCCGTGGTTGTGTGTTCTCTCTTGTGACGTGTGTAGTCACAAAGGCATGTTTTGCCGTTTGTCATGTCTTTATCCTTGTGTTGTTGTTATCCGTTGTGGTCTTGGGATGTGTTCCCGTGTTGTTTGTTGATGAGTGATGAGTCTTGAGTTGGTGTTTACTCTTGGTTTTACACACACACACACACACACACACACACACACACACACATATATATATATATATATATATATATATATATATATATATATATATATATGTATTCCGTTTCGAAATGATTTTTGTATATATATCCTACCTATGTATGATACTTAACAGGTATTGGTGGGTTACCAGCATTATCGCTGACGGGCGTCGTCCCAATGTTTATCTTTGTGTCTTTCAGGTGATGTCTAGATGAGCACGATGTTTAGTGGCCGGTAGTCTAGTGCCTTTACCTTTGTTTTGTGGCCTGTGTGCTGTTGTAGTTTTAGACTGATGTCTTTTGGGATAGATGCATACACTTTGCAGATTGACCGCCGTAGCGTTTACCGTGTTTGGTAGACGTGGCATAACACCCCGTTTGGATTTCTTTTATCCAGTTATCGTTTTATCTTCCGCTGTGCTAGTTTTTGTTGTATGATTTGCAAGTGTTAAGGCCTTTTTATATAGGTCGTATTTGGGGGGGTGTTACAGGTGTCAAAGTCGACAAGCTTATGGGCAAGGATTCCATTCTAGAGGTACCAAAAAAGGTGCATTTAAAAAAAAAAAACAATTCATATGCAATTATTAAAATCTTTTAATCTTTTTTGTTTGAATTGTAAATATTTTTCAATTTTTTTTATAAGTGTCACTGTGAATTGGAATTGTACTCTTACTTCACTATAATTACATTTGGAATAAATATGGCATCATTTTTAGACCACATGGTAAATACTAGTTGTAGGTTTACAGTTTTGTAAATATTAATATGATATAAGTATAACCACATAGTAATCTTCCATCAATTTGATATGCTAGAAATTGAAGTTCTGAAATTTAACATGGGATGAGTCAATGTGATCAACTGTTATTTATGCAGATGGTATACTTATTCCAAATTAGGCAAGACAGGTTGGTGATAGACTTCTGGAATGATATATTACTCTTCTTACCAGGAAAATAATTGGATAAGACTTCTGTAATGTTTGTTCTCATGCTATGTAGTTAAGTCCCCCATTTAATGCATTGGCAGGCAAAAGAGGATGGTAACACTTGATTTTGTATTGGTGCTGCAAGGACGGATACTATAAGAAGGAAAACCAATTTCAACCAGATCCTTGACTATGTGAAACAAATAAGGTAATGGTTATAGTTGTACTAAATATTTAAAGTGTTTGCGATGTGGTCAGGTTGATTGGAAATAATGTTGTCCAAGAGCAACTTCACTAATACCCTCCCCTTTTTCTTGATGACCACACACACACACACACACACACACACAATATACTGTACTGTATCTTCATCTAAGCGTGGAAGCTGAGGTTTTCAAACAGACTCTCTTTTTATTATTTGTAAGTAAAATTAAGGCAAGATTTATTGGTTGGAGAAGTTGGAAATCCAGAGTTTTACTTCAAATGGGTTTATCTGGTACTTGTTTCTGTTTTTCCTTCTTGGAGTCTTTTGTACCTTAAGCTTCCACCCTTTATTTTATTTTATTTTATTTATTATTATTATTAGTAAATCTGATCAATTTTCACATGGAGTTAGGTAGATTTGCAAAAACTGTTTTTTACATTACGACGAAACTCTAACTGGTCTCCGTACTATTGTTGTTTATTTTTGTAGAACAATGCTGGAAGGAAGTGGCTTACGATAATTCAACAGGATTGGATCCGCTTTGGCACCTTAATTACATAGCACCAAGTGGTGCTAAGTAATTTAAGCACCGAATGGTGCTCAATTCTAAGCACCGAATGGTGCTTCAATTCGGAAGCACCGATTGGTGCTTTGACCTTTCGATTAGTTCTGAATCGTTAACCTTTCGGTTGTACGGACTTCTGCCACTCAGGTATTTTTTAAACTGGTCATTATGATCGGTACGAATTAATTGTAAATTAATTTTGTAATCACAAATATTATTACGATAATAAGTATAACTGTTTCAAATGTTTTTATCCAATTATTAAATTGGATTTATGTGTCACTTATTTTGCTTGATGTAGTATATACGATCGGTATGACTATGAATACGATACTTGGAACGATGCCGGGTCAGATCTCTTTCCTAGTTTGCTTGTTGGTTTAAGTTCTCGAGCTCGGGACTGTTTGACAGTGGGTCAGCAGTCTCTGAGCTTATAGTATTGATGGTGAAGTAGGTGAAAAGTCATCTTCTAAGTAATAAATGGGCTATTTATAGGGATTGAGAGGAGGCAGGTTCCGAGGCCTCGGCATGAAGGGCACGTGGTACCCATGCACAAGACCAGACTGGGGCCAAAGGAGCTCTACGAATGTGTTGCAGTATCTCTGATAAGGCAAGACTAAGCTGTAGATAAATCATCAAGTTGAATCGACCTAAGAAGGTCAGTTCACAGGCTACTCTCAAAGCCACCTACGGGCGCGCCAACCCAGGAAGTCGGGCAAAGGTTAAGGTCCGCAGGTTATAGGGGACGACCAGGTCAGGTCGGATAAAATCCCTTGGCCTTTGAGGACCCATAACCGACCATCAAGCCTACGGTCGGGGAATGTTGCCCATCAAGTAGCCCCCCAAGCTTGGAGCTTGACGATGGCTCGAGAGGAAGGGTAGAGGCTACTTTGAAAACGGTCAGCCTCTCGGCACGGATCAAGTACGGCGCGGGTGCACGGCTACAAACGCAAGTAATTGCCGCGGGTCTAGGCGTGCATGTATCAAGCCCTGATTGTCTTGGGATCT